AGCTCATGTAGGTGACAGGAAGATCTTACCTAAAGTCAAGAGGATATTGACAACTTCATTCACACTTTTTACATCTTCAAACAAATCATCCCAAGCAACATTTATATATATGCACATATGTATCTATGACTGCTTACTTACATATCTGACTGTTCAAATTGCTTCAGCTCCCAAACCTACTGAGCATAGCTTGTAGAGCCTGAAATGGGCTGTCTACAAGGAAGAATTTAGTTTTAACTGTCTACAAGGAAGAGTTTAGTTTTAACCTTTGTATGATCTTGTGGGCAGATGCAAGCTTGTTTTAAAGACATAGATGTGACTGCATTACTATCTGGCACCAACCCTGATCTAATAAGCTCTTCAAGAAGTTTGGAGAGACAAGTTCTGACTTAGTGGATTGCTAATGCAGTCCTTGGCTTTTTGACTAGAGCAGCCTCATATGCTCTTTACTCACAAAGAAGAGAGTTTGCTCCTACCTACCATCAAAACAGCTCAGATAAAGAAACATAGAATCACAGAATATCCTGAGCTGGAAAGGACCCACAAGGATCACCAAAGTCTGACCCCTGACAAAGGACAACCCCAAAAATCACACCAACTTTGTACAAGGAGCATAAAGTAGATGTAATAGAAGACTGGAATATGCCGGTCACAAGGCAAAGAGAGGAAGGAAATATTTGCAGAAAATAATACAGCAATCATTGCTCTAAATGCAGTATTAGATCCTTCTGCATTTTCCATCTTTCTATAGGAACCTTCTCTAGCTTCTAACTGCAGAGCTAGAGAGTGTGGAGATTTTATCATGAGTCCAGAAAGACATGATAAAGTGTGAAATATGGTCCAGAAATATCTGGTGTTCAACATTATGTTATTTGAAAAATACTATTTTGAGTTTCCACACTCATGTTTGCAAAAGAACCTGAAAGCAGAGACTGCTGAATCATCTGATATCAGAAGCCAGATTTTATTATTATTTTAATCTTAAAAGAGTGGAGAATTTTAGTCACTCAGGCCTGCTTTCAGCATTAGGCTCACTGTTTTTTAACAGTTATGATTAGTCATATTTGACCTTCTCTTTTCCATGCTCATTTTTGAAATAGTAAAGTGCATTTGAATCAAGTTTTCTTTCTTTCCCCTGGAACTGCAAGTATTAGAAATGTATTTTAAAGACACTAACACTGACATTAATTTCTAAAGACATTAAATTAGCAGTACCTTAGGGTTTTAAAATAAACACCAGAAAACAAAGTTGCATATGGAGTCATGAATTCACCACAGGTTGATATTATGGTTTTTATAACAAACACACACATCAAATGTAAATTCTTACATGTCTCCCTTCCTCGCTATGATTTAAGCTGTAACTGCTTATGAGACAGAGCACACAGAATACCTGAAGGCTTTTCTGATCCACCAAATTCGAGTTGGCAGTCTGAGAAATGAGATAATGAAAAAATACCTTTCTCCTTTTCTCACAAATTACACTGTTAGTTAAAACATTCTCCCTGGAGGATACGACTTCTCTCACTTCAGGTCTCACTTTTGCTCCATCCTTTCACCAACTTGTAAAAGTTCATACAAGTTAATACTTGGGCATTGGGTCAATGGCTTCAGGTAAGCATCTAAAACACCCCACAGTGAAAAATCAGACTTAATAGAGCTGCACTAAATTGGCACACATTCCCATTCCATCAGGGATACCCACTGGCTTCAGCAGATGGTATAGGCAATGTTTGTCATGTATCTGTGGTGTACAACGCAAACATCTGATCTCACATGGTGAATGAACCAGACTGAATGCACCATCCCTCCTCAGGACACCACTTGGAGGGAATATTTCCAGGAGGCTCAGAGACTACAACTGGACTTTGTAACTGCTACATCTTTTTTTTTTTTCCTTTCCTGGTAAAAACACTGCAGTGACACTCTGTAGAAAATAAACTTCTGTCAGCTATGGAGGAAGGTGAAGAGATGTGGTCATTGGGTCAATGATTATACAATACTCATTTTCTGGATGCTCACTTGCTACCTGATTAACAGACAAGCTAAAAACCTCACAGAGGATCATTTACCACCACTGCAATTTTTTCCTTTAATGAAGTTAGTCAGAAAAGGACTACAAACTTGGTGCCTAGACTATTTTGCAGCAAGGGTAAAAATCTTTATTTTCTGATTGGTACAAATGCAGCTGCTCTGCAGGAGTTGTCAGTGTTGATAATATTGTTGAGCAAACCCGGTGGAAAAACTCAGCATAGAAAAAATTGCAAAGACTTGAATTTAAATTCTTACATACAGAGGAGGATTTTTTTTGGCTGTCACTCATGCTCTATTCCCAATTTTGTTTCTCTGTTTTAATTTTGTACAGACATCTTAAAAGCATAAATGGTAGGAGAATTAGTATCTATTATCAGTACATAGTTTAGTTACTTTTTGAATGCAAAAACATTAATACATTTTAGTAACTTTGTGTGATTGACTCAGATCTGTGAATAGCACCATTGTAGTTATAAATGTATTACTATGGAATTTTGTGAAGAAGCTTGCTCTCAAGCTGAAGGAAGAAAAACAGGCAACTGCCTTACAGAGGAAAGTTCAAAAGTGAGTAGGATGAGAAACATGAGAAAGCTAAAACCTGGAAATTCTCTTATGTCCCAAGCAGAAGAGAGAACTGAACTCCCCATGCCTCACAGCAGAATATGAAGTGTAACACCTCAGATAATCTGGATGAATGAACCCAGATAAACTGCAACATCTTAAGTAATGCACCAGCACTCACTATGTAAGGCTGAAGAAAAGAACATTCAGGGAAGTAAAGGACAGGCTGCTGTTTTTCCTGGAAAAGATTGTTAAGAACTAAACCAACAAGCACAGCTGAAAGCAAAAGAAAATGTACAGAATTTGACAGCTATGATATCAAAAGTACTGATGTACCTGAACATTTCTGGCAGATAGAATTGTATCTGAAAAGTTTAAGTTAGGAGACAGAGTTTCAGCAACAGCTCTCAGGCCATTGGGTCACCTGAAACAAGGCAGAATGAAAAGGGCTTACCACACAGCATTCAGCGTGTGTCAGTGCCCAATAACAGATACACTACTTACTGAGCTGTGGTTTTGTTGTCATTGTCTGGCAGCAAGATCATTTGTTTTAATGACCTTCTGCCATCATGTGAAAGCAATAGCTCTTTTGATTGGGCATGTGGTAAAATTAAAGGCTAATTGGTATTCCACTGACAATATACAGTAAGTGCCTCATTGTGCTGCTGACAACATCTGATGGATGCTGCTTCAGGGTCAAAGGAAATTAGTTTGATAGGAAAAAAAACCTGGCCATGCCAGGTTTGCAAGTTATCTACTAGTGTTCTATTTCACCAGAGATATTATACCATCCAAATTTAATACAGACCAGGCAGAAGAAAACAAAATGACAATAATGCTAAATATTATTGTGGCATCTGTCTGCTCTATGAGGTTACTTTTTTATCATTGTTTTGAAACAAACACACCATGAGGCAGCAACAATTTAAAGCATTCAGGACATCAGCGTAACAGTTTATCAAAAGAGGCAAATCTTGAGACCAATAACAGCTCTCCTACTACTAGAAATGTTACAAGCCTTGAAGAGCAGAGCTGGGCTGCTGGATATTCAGAAACCCTACACATGCCAAGTAGTTGAAAAGAAGTAGCTTATCTAAAGTGTTTTAAGTGCTAGATGCAGTTTTAGAGTTTATCTGCTTAGGTACAATTAGTGCAACACACTTTGGACACTGTCAGTTCTGCAGAATGTAAACAAGCAGCTGTGGCATGTTCCAAGGGCTACCCAACACGCACATTGCTATTTCTTTCCAGAAAGTTCCAGAGAGAAATACAGCAATAATTTTAATGTATAATTATGCAGTAAACAACTTTATCTGTGAGCCAGCCTTTGTGTCAGAACAGGTTTACTTCTTATTTTACCTTAATGGCACTCATCAAAGCCTTAGTGGTCAGAACCCAAGCTAACATTAAAGACAGGCTTTTAAAATGGCATGGGAAAACTGGACCGGACTGAAGAATATAAATAAGCAGGCTTAGATTCTGAGAGGCTGAGTACTCATTAACTTCAGCGATTTCAAAGGCATTTGGGCTTGAAAACTTTGATTTTGAATTTGGGATTAGGAAGACAACTTCCCAAATGCATGCCTTCCAATTATCTTCTGTGTTCAGCAGAGAACATAAAATACAGTAAAAATTGCAGCACTCATACATGCTTTTTGAACCCAGCTTTTAAGTGCCCTAGCTTTGCAAAGTAACATGAACTCCAAAAGTTCATTCCAGCAGTGCCTTGAACAGCTTGCATTATTACAATCCATTTTCAAAATACACAAACTAAAGAGGCATCATTTTTTTCCGTTAGGACAAAGCAAAGCAGGGTGAAAAAAAGAAGGGAAAGGGTGTGTGTCAAAGGGAAGGTCACCAGTCATGAACCCAGTCCTGTGTTCAGTCCAAATAAAAGAGCCACAACAGAAGTCATCCTAGTGCAACATCCCTTTTACAGGACACTGCACCCAAAAATGGGAAGAATATGCTGCTACTACGAATATTCTTCACCATGAATTTTCTCATTGCAAGTGAGAATTGCACAGCTGGCTCAGGTAAAAAAGTGAAGGCAATGAGTATTGAAAAGCCCAGTGCTAACCCAGTGAAGTTGGCAGTCCACCTTTGCAGACTGAGCCAGGGCATTTGAGATTCAGGCTTCTATTTATAAAATCAAATGTATAAAAAAGGAACAAATAAATGAGGAAGCTATTGCTTCTGTGTTGCTTAAATGTAACTTTTTCTAACTAAGCAGAAAGTTGCTGATTATAATTGCTACCCCTGTATTTTAGATACACACAAAATTCTAGGACACAGAATCTCTTTGGCAACTTCTAAAAGTAAATAGAAGCTCTAAGCACCAGATGATAAACTGTACTCAGACATTTTGATTATTATATTTCTATGGCACAAAGGAACAGAATCTCCAGCCTGGGATATCTTTTAATTATGCAGTAAAGCCTCCTATGAAGATACATAATAACTTATGCTACTGAAAAGCATGCCATGCATGAATAAGTGCTGTTACTCTCTTCTTTCAGCATCTTTCAGTCAATAGCACCCACAAGAATGTATAAAGTTATTGCATATTATTGTACAGTGTATATATAACCTTGCTATATAACAAAGCACATTTTTCTGCAATTCTAAATAGGTTTCTCTGGAGTGTTTATATCTTTGTTTTTCTTACTAATTTTCTCCATATTATTTTCTAGTATACTTTGCTGCTGCTCACATTCTTTTCCTGAAAACTCAGCCTTTCTGCATCTGAGATCTAATGCCTCCACAATACCAAATCAACAACAACTACCCATTAGAGGCCAGGCTGTTGCTGCTCTGGTTTCCACAGCAGTGAGGCTGAGTTAGTTTTTTCAAAAAAAGGTGGAGAAGCACTTGTACCCACACAGAGCCAGTCAGATACACAGACCAAAACACAGCCCTCATGAAATCACCATCAGTACCAGCACCCACATCCTGTTTCCCCATCTGGCTGATTAGGATGAAAGCCTATATATGCAAGGAATCCATAGATGGATATAGTACAGATCCCTCCAGCAGCTGCTCTTAGACACTCCATCTGTCTAGTTACTGGCTGCCTGATCTTCTGGTGTCTCCAGTTGCTGGCACCTGGGCAAAAAAGCCCCTGAGGCATGTAGCCACACAGACTTCTGGCTCCCAGATCCCCTGGAGCATGTGCACACTTGCACACACTGACACACACCCTGTGGCTCCCTCTGGGCTTAGTCAATCTGTACCTAGCTTCTGAATCCCCTGGCCTGACACTTGCCTCACGTACAAACAGGCTCTCCCACAGCCTCATCCCCTAATTCCAGGGGTCCTTCCAACAGCTGGCTTGGACCTCCACCTTAATGTTCATTAGTAATTAATTACACACATTGATGGACACACCCACACAATATGCACCCGCTCCAGTCTTTCCAGTTGCTGTCACTTCAGACACACAGACACCTATGACATACTTATGGCCACCTGTCCAGCTGCTGGCACTCAGACCTTCACATTTGTCTTTCTAGCTGCTGGTATAACAAGCAAGAGCCCCTGTAAATCCTGGTGTCCTCTCCAGCCACTGGCACTTACTTATCTACCCACACAGAACAGACAGACCCTCATCCACAAATTTACCGACAGAGTTCAGTGACAAGGCTGGAAAAGCAGCAGACCACATTAAACTACTTACCAGCAACCTTGCAACTGGCCCTTGCTGTCTTCTCTTCCCCATCTTCTTGTCTTTGTCCCTTCTCAAATTACCTTGGTCCTCCTTCTACCCACCTTGGTCTTTCTCCTAAACATTTTATAATAAGCCTTGCACAATCCCAAGAATCTCTGTCCTTGCACCCCATAATGACTTGAACGTCCCTCTCAGGGTAATGATCCAGCCAGCTTCTTCCATTAACTTGTCTGGTGAATTTCACACTTGGTCCCAAGGCTCGTCCTTCTCCTTTGACAGTCCAATATGCAGAGCAGGGCATTTCCCTCATGCTTACCCAGTGACTTGGCCACTGGAGTTTCCCCTCAAGTCACTGCTCCTCTGTGCTCATGGCTACGAGACTCTGATAACCCCACATACAGCTTATGCCAAGACACGTTTCTGTGTTATATCATTACATTAGCAAGCACGGCTTAACAGTTTACAAATTATTTTCAATACTGATATTCCATGCACCATCAGCATTGAAGAACACAAGATATAATCAAGATTACTGAACACAAAAATTGCAGCAGACCCAAACTGCAAAGTTTTTGGTTTATAAGTATCTGTGATCATATGTTCAAATCCCTAGGGAGTTTCTCCACAGACTTCAGTAACTGATGGATCAGGCCAAAGGAAAAAGATCCTCTGCAGGGGGAAATAGCACAACTTTCATATTTTATTTCTATTCTTTACTATTTCCATCACTTTAGGGCTTATTCTTCAGAAATTACTTGCAAGCAGGTCATATCTATAGCCATGATTTGTAAGAAAATGTATGATACAAGTCAAAGCCCCACCCTGGCAGTTAGCACTTCCCCAGACATCTGTGCAGCTAAACACAGCACAAAAGGATCCAATGCTCTTGCTGTGAAACTCCCAGATAATTATTTCTTCAGCCAAAACCTCTCTGTTTCAGAGAGGTCTTCAGAAAAGAATTTGCTGACATGAGGATGAGTCACTAAAGAAAGACAGGAGCACAGGAGAAGGTTGTGGAGAATTTGACATAAGGATATATATGTTCTTTTTTTTAAACTTAAGAAATTAATGTCATGTATTTATGCTAATTAAAACAAAGCAAAACAAAACAAAACTCCCTTCCAAAACTCAATTATAGGTTGCAGAAAATCTGTAGCCATTTGGAAGACATAACCAGTAACACCAATATTTTAATTTTTTTTTTTTTTTTACAGACAGAATTCTAAGGATTTTGGAAACCACCACAGAACACACACAAAAACAAAGGACATTGCCACATTAAAAGGCATCTTTAGGACTTAGAATACAACAACATCAAATATGCAATTGACAACTTGTTGTTCTGCATAGTACTGAAAGGAGGACCCTACTGGAACACTAACAAGGAATTCCTGATTCAGGGATTTCTTTACAACTGTGAAGTGTTGTTAACAGAATATAAGGAGTACTGGAGATTTTAAAGAAAAAGATGGGAGTTTTGTGTGAGGTTTCAGCTATCCAGAAATTCTATGCTAACAACTTTGCAGTTTAAACTAAAACCAAATTTTTTAACTTTCAGAGTTTTCATTTATTTTATAAAACATTTATTATCACTAATCAAAGATACTGATGTTCCCCATAAAAATTTAAAAGGCAAGGAAATAAACTTTCCAAATCTCAAGAAACTTCTAAGAGGTAGAAGCTTAGAAGGACCACTTAAGGGTGATTCCCAGCATCATGCTCAGGCCCACTTCCCTAGCATCACCTCCATTAAGTGCATAATGTTGAGCTCACACAAGGCACTGTGATAAAGCCTTGCTAAGAGACTGGAACTGCACCAACAGCCAGCTCCTTACTGATTCCCAACTAGTAAGTCTTGAGGCAGTTGCACTGGCACACACTCAGCACAGCAATCAAGGCATTTTTGGGCAACACCAATCACATCAGTTAAATGTGGTATTATTTCACAAGCTTTTCCATTTCCATCTTCTTCTTCCTCATCCATTGTACACGCTGAAAAGGCTGTCACCTCCTGAAATGAACAAAGAAAAAGTCCTAATGAAGACAATAATTTCAATTCCAAACATACCCTTTTTTTTAGCGCAGGCCTGGAGGTACAGGCTGTATTAAGATGAAGTTCCATGATGGACTAAGACAGCAATCAAGCTGCTTCCTGGTTCACTTTCCACCAGCTCTCTAATTAATGGTTCCCATTTGTCCACAGGCTGAGAGATTTATATACATGCATTAAGCCATCCACAGAGGTCACCAAGACCTTTGTTTTATGTAATCAAAACTAATGCAGAGCCCACGGCTGGATATGTATTCAGAATAAAACACTAAATAACAGAATGGGAAAAACATATTATTGTACTTTAATTTTACCGTAAGATGAACATACTGAGATCAGTTCAGGTAAAATAGACCTGACCTCAAATTTTACTGCAAATAAGTGTTTTAGGTGAATTGTTTTTACTGTAATGGATTCTTTTTTTGCCTAGTTGATTTGTGTTAAGTACTCAAAAAAAAAATATAAAGACAACTGAAGACCAGTTCTGTGTGACCTAAGCTCCAATATTTAGGTTTGCAAATGACCTTGAAAAGATATGAGGGGAAACTCCAGATTTGACACAATGAAACAAAGATAGTTGAGGCATTCAAGAGGCTAGAAAAAGAGGCTGCATCATGCAGCAGCTGTAATTTCAAAAGATTAAAAAAAGAAAACAATCCATGAACAAATGACTAACACTTAACATAGACATAAATGTTGTGCCACTGAAATTATAGAAAGGCATCTGGTAAATAGTATTCATGCAAAATGAATTAGCATTAAACAAAAAAAGATCCAAACACACCAACCCCCCCACCCCCCCCTCTATTTATAGCCTCCCCCTCTTCCTTCGGGGGAAAAAAAAAAAAAGAGTAGGGTTGAATGACAGAATTTTTTTTCAATACTTCAAAAGTGAGTGCATGGAACAAATCCATAACCTTCTAATGTGTTGTTCTCTATTTCTGAAATCGTTCACAACACATACTTACCTTCTGTCCTTCAGTCAGCTGAACTCAGGAACAAAGAGGTTTAATTCAGTCAGCAAGTGGGAGGTATTAGACATAAAGACGAGACATCTGTCACCTCCTGGCTGGTGAGCAAGGTGGCACTGTCAGGAGCGCAGGCAGCAGGAGGAAGATGTCTGAGAATGGCTTGGATGTTAAATTTAAGTCACTGTCATAGCATTCAGAAGTCATCAGTAAAGCCAGATACTAGGGCAGGATTCAGCGCTGCCCTCACACTCTTCTAGCAAGCTGAAAAACCTTGGCAACACAAGAGAGGCCAAATTCAGAGGCAGCAGGCATGGGTAAGCACAACTGCACTCACTTTACCTAATATTAAGTAACTAATATTAATCATGTGGTGATAGACATAAAAACTGTGGAAATGTTGGAGAAAGAAAAAAGAAGTGTAAGAGACCCTGTGCCTGGGACTCAGAGTGGTGAAGGGCTCATGACCAGTTAAGTGGTACAGCAAAGCAAGATTTGAAAAATACAGTATGCTTTTTCAGAAAAAAAAAGCAACATGTTTTTAGCAAGTTTCAAGCCTTTCTCCACGGTGATCTCAGTGCTTTCTTACTGTCTATTTGTCCACTCCTGCACAGAGTGATCTTCTGCCAGATCACTAGTTATAATGACAGGTCTGAGCAAACAGCGCTCGCCGCCAAGGCCTGTGGATGCCGTGGGAAGGCGACATCCCGTGCCATTCACCCTGTGTCCACAGCCGGACAGCACAGCGCCGGCCCTGGCTGCCCACACGCACATTCTGTTTGAGACCTTGTACAAAACCCTTTCCAAGCCTTCAGGGAATGCTACCACCCCTAGCGCCATCACCCAACCCTGAACGACTCGTGTTTTCTGGGAGGAAAAGACTTCTCTGACTCCCATCCTTTTAACTCTTATTCACACTTCCCGCGAAGCCCTAAATCCAAGCGCCGGTGTTTTCTGAAGCAGGGCGCCTCTCGGGATCCCACCTTCCTCCCGGGCCAGCTCCTCGTCGCTGCTGAGTGCGGACAG